AAATAACACTTGGCGTCCTACTTGCTTTATCGTACAAACGACCGGTTTCAATAGACCGGCGAAATTTCTCATTTTATTAAAGCACTGAGGTTACGACAACTTCGAATTAAACTGATTTCACGGGTTGTCAAAGAGTCCAGCGATTCCTTTTTCCCGGGTGAGCGCCGACTCATTGCGCTTCAATGTTCAGAAATGCTCTCGATCTCTTTACGCTTTCATTGCCTTTCACCCGACATGTTTTGCACGACGTTTAGTCATGCAAAACCTCCACGAAACATCCACGCGGCGCGCGAGGTAACTTTATCCCGATTCTAAAAATAACTCGAGACGAATTACCTATGGAATAGGGTGTGTATGGGGGATGCCTTCTCTGTCCTCTCTATCCTCTCTTGATGCCAACGCTTTCTGAGAGGGTGCTTGCTATTGTGCCAAAATAACCGGAAATGTTGGTCTCAGAACCTTCCGCCCGGAAAAACGTGGTACGTCCACAGAGCTGGTCAGTCTAACTGGTCGGACGGGTCTCACTAGGGTCTTTGAATAAATCTAAAAAAGACGCACTACAGAATGAGAAGCACAGTCAAACCAGTATTAAGAAGTCACCCCTTGGGAATGGCTTAATGACCGTTTAATGCACTGGTTGACTGTTTAATACATGTTTATCAAACGTCAGAGTTATTGTAGAAAATCAGTGAAGGTAGTCAAAGAGCGAAATATCTACCCCACGACAAATTGACCTCATGCTGTTTCTAACTTTTCTTTAGCCTGTTCCAGGCTCCGAGATGGTGGCCCGCCACCGCCCCCTTTCCCCAGTCGTGCGCGTCTTATTTTCGCTTTGCTCGTTTTAATGCGTTCCCATTATACTATTTGAGAACCTGGCACAGGCTACCTTTTCTTGGGCCAAAAGAAAAAAGTTAAAGACCACTGACGCCATACACAGTGCGAATTGTTGCACTATTGTGGTACGTGTTCTCAAAATGATCGTTTAATGTCTTTAATGGAGGTACAATCGTAAAGACAATAAAAATAATTTACTGGGACCTTGGAAAAGGCGAGTGCAACCGCTTAATACGGGTGACCGCTTGATACAGATCAGTTTTAGTAACTGTAATTAAGGGGAATGATTTCGGGGACTGACCTTGGTAATTGACCGCTTAACAGTGGACACTGGCCCGCAACCTCGTCCCCAGGGCTTTTCCCATTTTTTTTAAGGAAAAAGCCCTGAGGACGAGGTTGAATGGGCCGGGGGTGTCCGTGGGAAGTCGGTGCCCGTGGTAATGCGGGCTTTGACTGTAATCAATATTTTGGTCAAGACATAAAAGGAAAGCTTCTATCCGTTTAAAGCTTTGTTTGATTGATGTCGTCGTGGCTTTGTTCCAGTGATTAGATATACTGGTTTATAATCAATCGGTTTGGCAAGAAGAAAGCACACATAATGCGAATTTGCGATCAGGTGTTCTTTTTTCCTTTTCTTTCCTTTCCTTTTTTTTTTTGTTGGAAAACACCGCCTTATGGCAGGTTTAATAATAGAGAGCTTTAGATTTGAGGATGCGGATGACATTTTAAGTTATCGCATCCATTCTCTAAGAAATAGACACCCCGGAAACCTTTATCGTTCTTTTTTTTTTTTCACAACAGAAGTTAGAACGCTTATTTTCGGTTAAAGGAGGTGAAGCCCTCTCCCGATAGCTAAATGATAAAATTCCTATCAGTCCTATCATTCGATAACTTGTTTTCGCTACTACGACATTTCGAAGTAGAATGAAGGTATCAATTTTTCCCGCCAAAAAAACGTTGGTTCGCGCGCGCGCACTACTTAGTATTTAGAAAATCTCGTTGTCGTTGTCGTTCTTGTCTTAGAATCTAAAGCTCTCTGTTATAATACCTAATTTTGTGACAAGCTCAATAGGATAGGGAGTAGGTTTGGCTAATTTATACCTAGATCTGTACAAACCTGGTTGCCGTTACATAAGCTGTCGTGGAATCCTTTCTTTCTGTTTCTGTTGTGCTTTTCTAAGTCCTTGAAGAACAGCCCCTGGCGGTACCCGCTTGCTTAAAAGATCATTAACAGCTTACCGCCCTAAACACCCAAATTATAAACTCTCCAGGCCCAAGATAAGATAATAGTGCTGTCTCGCAGTGAAAAATTATGTAAAATACGCGCGAGGGCTAGGGAGGGCTCCCGCTTACTTTTTTTTTTACACGCCACCGTCCCCTCCCCTAGATCGCGCTTGTGTTATAACCGCTTGGCTTGTTTTCTTTGCGCGACGACCGTACCATTTGGGTCATCTGAGAGCCGGTCAAAGGGTACCCTAAGTAAGGATATTAAACAAAGCAGCACGTTTAGATTAGCAAAACAAAAACTTGTTGCAGGTGCATCACGAATATACAGTATCTTACTTCATCACCTGCAAGACTCCGCGTCTTGCGAAGTAGGCCTGCCCGGCGCAAATTTTATTCTTTTTTTCTGATGTTAGAAATAACCAACGCCGCTATGATTCCTTACGCTTCTTGGTGCATGTTTACACAACTAAACAAAAGTGAGAAAAATATTTGCTTTATTTGTGTTGGAGCTAAAGTTATCATCGGTTAAATGGCCTTATTCACCCGACAAAAAAGAGTTTTATTCTCCTAAGACGATTACTTGCTAGACATCAAGAAGAATAATAGGTGTGGACCTTCTTTATGAGAGGGGAAAATAGTCACTTGGGTAAACCAATGTTTACATTGGAACTACGAAAGCTTTTGTCCCGGGAACGGGGGAAGTGGTGGGCTCTCATTTTAGTGGTATAAAAAATGACGGGAATGCTCGTCTGAAAATTGGAATTGCCAGTAATCCACTAAAGGAGACCGGTCTTGGCGTTGCTCAGACTTTATTTGACTTTTTCTTTTTTACTCCAACCAAGAATGACGACATATGTTGTTTTTATAGAGGTATTTCTTTGCGCCTAAATCTAAGCGATACACCTTCACGGGTAAAATATCCGCTACCTTCTGTCCGTCTATAACTCGAGCCAAGAATGTGCTGCCAACACGTCTCTATTTGGATCACACGCGAAGAACGGAACGCGAGACCGAAGGGAGCGCAAGGGGTGATGGAAAGGAGGTAAACGTCCCGTCTAATTTCGTGCCAAGATCTCGCTAGTACTGTGTCTAACCTTTGGCCGCAGAAGATCAGTATACAAGATTAGAGTGATTCTTAACACCCGCTACGGGTCTAAATTTGTTCGATTTTAAGCACTACAACAATAAAGTGTTGAGCAATAGTTACAAAAATTATAAACCAGAAGAAGAAATGACAATCAGAGAAAGCAAAAATATACATTTATCTCAAAATGCTCCAGCTTTTATGAAACAAAATCTTCTCAGTTGTATCGGTGTTTGGCCCGATTATCACCCATTTTCTGTGTCTGCGTTCACTCGAGTATAGGAGGATACCACATTCTCCCCTGGCTAAATAGAATGTAGTAGTCCTGTGATGATGCACAACAAATTCTCATCACTAGGTTTGACTGTAAAAACAGGGGTTTTTCTCGGTGTTGTGAAAACTGCCCATCATAACTCGTCACTTTTAGAAGAGACGAGAAACTGGGGCGAGTTTAATTTCAAAAAGACTTCTGGGAGTATAACCAGGGAACAGGAAAATGGCCAATAGCTGACCGCCGCGTCCCCACCAACTACACCAGAAATAAAAGGCCATTTCCGAGTTCCCCCTGGACTCTGTATCAAAACGAGGTTAAGTGTTCAGCCTTTGATATGGGAATAAATTTTCAATCTCATGTAAATAAAACTCATTTTCCCAAGACGGGTTGTGCACTTCGCCTTATTTTGACAATGAGGCGTTTTGGAACTTGGAAGTGGCCTATTGCGGAACACGTTCTATAATATAACCAAAGCGTTGAAATGTTGGTTCGTTAACTGTTCCTCGGAAAAGAATACAACTTAAAATCAAGTTTCACCAGCCTTAATTGGTAATAAATTACTGCGCTTGTGTTGTACTCTGAGTTTTTAGGTTATTGTGAAGTGTCTTTTCAATAGGCCACTTCCGAGTTCCACAAACCCTCCAAGCAGACTTCAAGATACCCTCTTATTCAGTTCCCCAAAAATCTTTCCGCACTGTCCTTTCCGAGAAAGGATGAACAAAATTTTTTTTATCACCCATGCTGTAGCTGAAATAAAAGCTTTGAAAACAAAACGTTATGAGACTGTTAAAAAACCAACAAAACCAGACATATGCGATGGCAAACTGCAACCAAGATACAAATAATTTACAATATCCAAACTTAATGTAAAATGACTATAGTTTTTTATGGCATAATTGTTCAAACTGAGAGGCGATACATAGGACGCCCACATGGTCCAGTACCGTTCACGGTAAATAGAGACCTTTAGAGGCAAAGACGAGGACGAGTACCGGTACAAAAATTTAACTAAAAATTGTTTCGCGTATTGTTGCAAAATATGCACAACGAAAAGTTTCATTGTGTTTTACCCCCCCCCCCCCCCCGTTTTTGTTTTTCCCCCCCCCCCCCCCGGGGCGATGTAACGGAGGGTTTTTGGCGTTACGAGTTTACGGGGCTTATATTTGGAGGGGCTTATACAAGGAGAGCTTATTTTCGGAATTTTGCGGTATTTTTATTGAAGGAGGTTAAGCCCTCTCACGATCGCAAAATAGCAAACGTCCAAACATTTGACAGCTCACTGCCGCCAATACGACACTTTCGCTAAAAATCGTAGTAGAATAACGACGAAATCTCGTACTCGTACTCGTTCTCGTCTTAGAATCTAAAGGTTCTATCATGTGACCACTGACGACGAAAACGTCTTCGCAGGAAACACAGTGTCTCTTCACGTTTTCCTTAATACTTGAAGATTACGTAAGATGCAACGCAATAATGCATGCATGTGCTTATTGCTTGTATTCCTGTAGGCATCTGCGGGACACTACTTATCCCAACTGAATAGGATAATTTTCCACATCGGCGAGAAGGGAACGGCCGATGTCATCTCCTTACTCCCCGCCCTCTCCTCCCTCCTCGTGGTTTTCCTCTCCCCCTCATGGGGCTGTCTCCTGGTGGGTAGGGCCCTCTTTCATCGTCATGCCAGGGCCCATCTTCAAAATTGTCATCTGGTCCTCTCCAACTTTCCGGGGGCCCTTGATCCACTAGACAGAAAAAGAGAGACAAACCCATGATCAATACTCCTAAGTGGAACTTTGAAAGAAGTCGAAATGAATAAAGTAACAGTGGCTGCCATATCACCACGGAAAACAAAACCTTTTCCACTCGGGATCGAGGGAGTTCTTTTTCCCTTTGTCCGACCCTCTGCATTTTAATAGGCCCTTTGCAGCCAGCCATTCACGTGGTACAAAACCGCCATGCTGGAGAGCAAAAGTCGCACAGGGACCAGACAAAACAAAAGGCATACATAATTTTAAATGGTAATTTCCCTTGTTTGCCTTGTCCCAGTGCGACTTTTGCTCTCCAGCATTGCGGTTTTGTACCACGTGAATGGCTAGCTGCAAAGGGCCTATCGCTCAACTGCTTAAATTCGACGCGTTCTCATTTATGTGTCCTTAATTAGTTGTCACATTTGTGTAAGAAAGATCTTTTGAGACGAACTTGATCTATTAAGAATGTTTTCTGTACATTCTAAGGTTTTTGAGGGCTTTACTGAATTAGCTGCGTTCACTATGACTGTCGGAAATGACATCTTAATCTTACATCGATTATAAATTGTTTGAAAGGTTGAAGGTTTATAGACGGTGTTCAGCATCCCCACTTCCCCTCAAAAAAAAAAAAATGGGGGAAGAGGGGAGGGGTGGTTGTACAGGAGCTAGGGGGTGGAAAGTTCCCCTACCTTGTATTAAGTTCTTACCTGGCCCCCGTCTCCAGTCATCTTCAGGTCGTATAGCCTTAGGAGGCCCCCTGTCACCGTCCCTAAATCCCTCTTGTTCCCCTGACCGCTTCCTGCCTCGCCTGTCAGGAGTCCCTTTCCATGAATCATCATCAAGACCGAAATCAAACCCTGCCTGTCCTATAGGCAGCGGCGGGGGACTGAGACTCATTAGGGGACGTATAGCTGGTTTATTATCGTTTGTTTCAGGTGGCGGCGGCGGGCCTGGGCCTCTCATCATGCGTGGATCACGTGGTTCGTCTCTCGGTGGTGGCCCTCGAGGATCATGGGGGTGTTGAGGTGTTCCCCAGCTATCACGCCTTTCGAAGAGACCTGAATCAAGTTCAAAACAGAGATTGCAGATGTTGTATACTGTGGCTCAACTCTTACGAAGCCTCTACTAGTAAAAGAGTTACGTGACAAAGCTTCTTGCCTCTAGAAAGCCATTTTCTCAACAAACACATTAGACTAACTTATCGAGACCTTAAGAGACACCGCTCAGTTAACGTGAACGGTTGATTACCCGCGCCCGTACTCGTATATACGGGTAAACTGCATCTTAAAGGAGCTAGTTTGTCTGGCTATTTGCCATCTTTCTAAAAAGCTAAAATTGATTTCCAAAATAATGGTCCAATTTTGCTATTTTTAAAAGAGTATATTTAGGCATTGAACCTGTTTCTTGTCGTCTGTTGCTATGGATGACAAGAATCGACGTATAATGAAACTTTGAAAAAACCGGGCCAACTTTTTCAAGCTTTTAATAATGCTGTATCTGCAAAAATCACTGAGATATTATCTCGGGCAACCAACGACTGTTTTCCGTAAAATATCTGTTCGGAGAACCAAATATTGCCTAGAACTTTCCATTACTTGAGGACAGCTAAAAATTTCTAGATGACCATCCCATTCCATCTTATGTCTAATTAATTCCCTACAATCTACTGAAGATCAATTTTTCACATTTCACTGCTCAGGTTAGGCTATTTTTGGTAGCAAAAAGGAAACCTAAGATTTTCGGATTCAAAACTGTGATGGGGAGAGGAATCAGAAAAATCCTCACTTTCGTAATACGTTAAATTGCGTCTAAAATTTTCGGGAAAATAATACTGAAGCCCTTACATTTAGAAAAGACTCAAGTTCCCCTAGGATAACAGAACAGATACAAATTTTATAGCGCCGCTTAGAATGCATTCCTAGAGAAAGTGTTTCAATGTATTTAGGAGGAAACAGTCGTCGTGTGCCCCTGCATTATTAGGGTTAGTGCGCCCTGATTTTTTTTTGGATATCTTCTCCATACCTATTAAGCAGCATTTTGTACATACGAGTCTCGCGAGAACGCGCGAGCCAGCGGCGAGCCTCCTTTCCTCGGCCTCTCGCTCGCGCGTTCTCGCGAGGCTCGCTTCGCTTGCTCAAATAGGAGAGCTTGCTCGCAGGCCATGCCAAGAAACACAACTTGTACAAAAGAAACGTGAAGGATTCTCTAACCATGTTGTTCATCAGGCCTTCGGCCTTGTGGCGGCTCATCTGGAGGTCCTCCCCAGCGAGGGTCTCTATTCTCATTTCTTCCTGGGTTATTACTCTTGAAACCTCTCGACGAAAGGTTGTGAATAAATGGATGATGGCCTCCTGGATTGGACCCTTGCATATCGGGACCATGATGCGGAGGCGAGTCATGACCACGCCCTCTTGAGGGACCTCTTCGAAATCCTCTTGAACTTAGATCATGAGGATGTCGTTGGTTATTATCTCCCATGTCAAATCTCGGCGACAATTCATTCCTGTTCTCTTCACGTTCATTGGGTGGTGGTCGCCATGGCCCCTGGTCAAGCCTGGGATCCTTGGTAGGCGCAGAACCTTTCAAAAGACAGGGCAAGATGTTATTGAAGGGATCTGTGTTCCACGAAAATTACTGCTGTTTCAAACTCCTCATTGGAAATGAAAAGACCCAACGGTTACGAATGTAAAACACACAAGGACCTAGTCCATCCATAGTAAATGATAGTGTCATGAAACTTAGTTTTAAATGTGCAACCTTTGCCTCTGTGGATGAAATTCTATGGTGTTACCATTGAAATGAAACCTCTTCACAAGAACTTTCACACGATACTGTTTATTTAGTACGTAGTTCTAACTTTTGAGTCTGTGAATGAAATCCTATGGTGTTACCATTCAAATAAAACCTCTTCAGCAGTACTTTCACATGGCACTATTTATTTAGTATGTAGTTCTAACTTTTGAGTCTGTGAATGTAATCCTATGGTGTTACCATTCAAATGAAACCTCTTCAGGGGCACCCAACGAGAATATAGTTCAAAACCACTAAAACAGCATTGTTAAACGTACTTTGGTATTTAAACGGTAGATATAGGCATATTTTTATCCCCTAAAAATTTTTCATCTGTTCGGATTTCCTAGCTGAAAGTCTAGTGATCCGAAAATTATAGGGATCAAGACTTACCTTTTCGAAAATTTCAGCCAGAAAAAAGGCTCCCGAAAATTTTAGGTGACCTTTTTAGGGTAAAAATCCGTTAAAAATAGGCAATTATACCATATTTTAGATGTTCGAAAATCCTAGGAGAAGCAGGCAAGCAAGAAATTTTACAACCAATGTTCCGAAAATTCTAGATCTCAAATCGTCTCGGAACAGATATTTTTCCGAAAATTGTCGTTGGGTGCCCCTGCCTCTTCAGCAGTACTTTCACATTGTACTATTTGTTTAGTATGTTGCCTAACTTTTGAGTCTGTCAATGAAATCCTATGGCACCATACTACCATTCAAATGAATCCTTTTCAGCACTGCTTTCACATGGTACTATTTATTTAGAACGTAGGTCTAATTTTTTGAGCCTGTGAATGAAATCCCATGGTGTGTGACCATTCATATGAAACCTCTTCAGCAGTGCTTTCACACGGTACTATTTATTTAGTATGTAGTTCTAACTTTTGGGTCTACGGACAAAATCCTACGGTGTGACCATTCAACTGAAACCTCGTTTATTTTCACACGGTACCATTTGTTTATCAGTATTTCACAAACTCAAATTGGAATTTTGGTCAAATGTTCACCTCAGTTTATAACTGGCTGCTGTTCAACTGAGACGCATGGTTGGGTATGTCTGTTTAGCATTCGTAGTGATCCTTTAATTTCCAGGCGAAGGCGAAGTGAAGAAGTAAGGAATTTTGGTTACATATAACATCACAGAGGTGAAAGAGGAGAGGCAAACTGGGGCCCGAATGAGACGATCGCGGAGAAATAAATGGTCGCACCGTAGGTTTCACATCACTTGAAATGACTTGAACAGACCAAAAGCATTGAAAATCGGACGTTTTACAGCTGTTAAGAAAATGGCACTTTCCTCCACCAATAGCATTGGTGTAATGCGCATACCTTGAAAAGGGAAGTCATCTCCCCTTGGAGCACCACCTTGTGAATTAGGGCCAGCCTGTGGTCCACCAGATCCCTGCATCAATTGCTGGGGTTGCTGTGGTGCAGGTCCAAGCAATCCAGGACGTGAGTCTATTTCCATGTTCCTTGGTGGGGAACCCAAGATTCCCTGAGGTCCATTAAACCTATCCCCGGGTGGGCCCCTGAAATCTCTCCCACGTCCAAGATTGTTAGGGCCCTGGTCATGCCAGTTTGGAGGTTTAAAATCGCCAGGAGGGCCCCGGCGCTCATCCCAAGAGTCTCTCCCTGGTCCTGGCCTTCTGCCATCCCCTCGGAGTTGTCCATGACCAAATGGATCCCTCTGAGGACCATCAAAAGGCCTTTGTCCTGGTTCTTGCTTAAAGCTATTAGGCTGTAAAAGTCTTTGAGGAGCAGGGGGGTCAAAAGGCCCTTTGTGGTTCCTGTCACCAGGCCTCCCCGGTTGAAAAGGAGGGGCATCTGGTCGAAGCACTGAATTCCCATTTTCAGCAGCCGAGTTTATTTCCCCCAGAGACCCTAATCCTGGAATTGAGGGACTGGATTTGAAGTTAGGAAGAGTGAATCCAGGATTTTGTGATTCTAACTGCCTTGGAAGAATAGGGGTGGTCTTTTTAGCTGGTAAATTGCCAAATCCAAGCGATGGCCCTACAGGAAGGGAGAAGAGGTAATAGGAAGTGTAAAAAAATAAATACACCACTCCCGTTTACCTTATTAATACGAAATTCAGTACATCAGTCATATTAAAGCATAATCGTCAAATCAGTTAGTAAGAATTTAAAAAAACTAGTGCCCAAGATTAGTAATCAATCTTGCACAAGCAGATTACTTCCCTGCCCTTGTTTCGTATGTAAAACGAGAAGCTTTATTCTGAGCCCAGGTACAGACTAGCATAAATAATATTGCTTTTTGCTTCTCTCACAAAGGATATGGTCCGCAAATGAGTATGCATTCTCCAAGCTCCCAAAATATCTCTCCCTCTCTCCTTTAAAACAAATCGCTCGCTGCAGTTTTTTGCAAAGTCATTTATGTTGTAAGGTCACTGAATTCCTCTTTCGCACAATAGCTAACTTTGATTTGGACCAACCTTTTTCTCCCAAGTCATATCTATCAATGTCTGGGAAATCTTCAGCTGGGTTCAATGTAGTGTCCATTCCTGGAATAGCTGTACTCACAACCGGAGGGTGGTCACCATCTGAAAATAATATAAAGGCATTAACACCATTACCCTGCATCATCAAATTAATAAATCTCTTTGGCTTGTACGTGTTTTTTTTTTCAATGAAGGTCTAAGGGAAGTTTGCCCCTTTGCCTTTTCATAAATCATGCATAGATATGTATAGGTGCAGATCGCCCCCGTGGGATTGAGATGAAATTTGAACGAACCTGCTCTCTAGAGTATTATGACATGAACTGCATTGGGAAAACAAAACATTCAAGCTAAAGAGGTCTATTAACCCAAAATGGTTTTGGTCAGAGACTAGAAGATCCATTGATAGCTGTCTACCATAGGTGAGCTGCTGTGTTAAAAGAAGTTAACTTACAGACAATAGTACCATCTTTCTCAAAGAAAGTTTGGCTTATGGGATTTTAAAAGTGACAACGAAGAGTATAAAATTATTATTTTAGCATGTGGGCTCCTATAAAATTGAAACATGCTCTTCTTTAACTGTGAAAGGTATCTTTCTACAAAACTGATAAATCTTAAAGTTACAAAGCTGTAATCCAGACAACATGAATTTTAAACTCCCGACTCCCACATACATACACTCCAAATGACAAACTCATCAATGAAAACTCCAAGAAAGAGATATAAGTGAGGTACCACTTCCACAATGTAATGTTGACTTACCAGCATCATCCTCTGTGTCCAGAATATTTAAATTGTATTTATCCCTCATTCTGTCACCCAGTCGATTACGAGTCCAAAATTTACTGTCAGATGAAAAGACAGTGATAAAAATAAGTTCCAGCTGTGACATAATAAATAAAATGATGATGGGTAACTTTCTAAAACCTGTGGTACGTGCTGGGGGGGGGGGGGTACTCCCTGTGATGGCCATAAGGGGAGGCTCCGCCCAAAGGGGGTATCTTTTTCAGGCTTCAGGTATATGAAAGGGTAGGGATCTCACTAGTTGAAGAATATAAAAAGGTTTGCGAAATCTGTCATTTGGGTCTGTGAAAGAGCCCAAAAGGGCTAACAGATGAATTTTATGCCTCTATAAAGTTGAGAAAATATACTATTTTTGTGATTGATTCTTATTTAAGAGACAGTGCATTTACAGCAGTTAAAAGGGATGCAAAGTTCTAAACAAGGTATGTGAAAGGGGTACAATTTGTCAATAGAAAGTATACAAAAGGGGTATCTTTTTCGTGAAAATTAGTATATGAAGGGTAAGCGGTTGGACCTCAGGGCGGAACCTTCCCATATAAACATTTGTTGAGTACCTCTGGGGGTACACCCTGCCTCAAAAGACCCATTACCATATGAAAATAATGTGCATCAAAGGCTCCTGCCTTAGCAAACTTAACTTAACTTAATGCTAAGTCCAGGAACATGCCAGCGATGCATGCTCTAGCACCTCTATATATCGCTTTTCCACTTGAATAACTTGTGCTGTGATTGCACTACAATATAAGCTGTTTTACCTGGAGTGATCATTAGATCCAGAGCACAGTATGTGACCTAATGGATGCCATGCTAGACTCCACACCATTCCTTCATGAGCCATCTCCATATTCCCTACATCTTTCTCAGCACTTAAATGATAAAACAACAAAACAAAATAATATGTAATTCCCAAATAGTGCCAGTTTGAATAGGCAAAAGATCATCCCTGTTGCCTTAGGGCACTTCCCATTTGTCAGAACTGACTGGGAAGATCATTCATGTCGTAACGAAAATGTCACTCTTAATTTATAGCATCCAGCAAAATCAATCAAACCCTAATAGTAGGTACAAAGGAGATGGTTTTCATTACAAACTCTTGGAAAAAGATTATTTCATTGCAAGATCAGAGGAGGGTATCCAAAAACATTTTTGAATATCCCTGAAATTTAGTTTAGTGGCAAAATGCAGTGTACATTTCACTAAAAAATCAGCCAGTTAAAAAGTGATATACGATCCTGTCATTCAATCATGTAAGAATTTCAGTCTCAAACAAGCATCAGGTCTCATGGGGTGGGGGGGGGGGGGTCCGGATCCCCCAGACCCTCTCCCTGGATCCACCACTGATTTCCTGTTTTACAACTGTGAATGCTGTACTCACCCAACAACCCAGAACATCATGGAACCATCTGATCCACCACTGACAAACAATGACTCATGAATAGGATGCCAGCTGATTGCTACGAAAAAAAACAAATACACTAAATTGACATGCCAAGCAACATAACTTCACTACTAGCTAGATACAAATTATTAAGAAGTGGAACTCCCAGGTGAGGGGTATGACTGGAAGAGAGGTGCAGAAAAAGGGATGATTATTCTCCACTAGTCAGTGACAAAAAACTTTAGAGAGGGCTCGGCATAAGGAGGGTCTAAAAAACTGCAAAACCAAACAGGAAAATGTAACATCGCATAAAAATGTACCAAGATTAATTGATGAAGACTGCAAAAGCATGTGACTACAAGGTGTAAACAAAACCTGCATTGGATCAACTAGAGCTGACACTTAAGGCTGCAGCTGGGGCTGATTCCCAGCTATAATTTTGAGCTTGACCCCTGACCACTTTCATGGGGAAAAAAAATGAAAATAGAATCAACTAAAGAACTTTCTAGCATATCCATTCTCTAGCTACCCATTAACTGCATATATCTGGCAACTTGAAATCTAAGGAAAAGGGGTTGCAGGAGTTGATACAGTGCAGGTTAATATCCTTGATGCTGATCAAATGCACAAACTCTTAATGCCCCCTCCTTGGAGAAACTGAAATACCTCAAAAAGAAATAGCTAAAGGGGCTATAAAATTTACCAAAAAATGTTGTCACTGAACTTTCCATAGGGAGGTTTTGAATGGGACAATTTTACGTGGATGAATAAGAAATTGAAGGAACAAAACAGGGACATTGTGAAGAAGAGGTGGCCATAGGTATTTCAGGTTTAACTCAAATAGACCATTTGCCCCCTATTTTCACTTTTTTAAAGGGTGAATTGGACTTACCCGTAGCCTCCCTCTTGTGACCTCGGAATGTTTGCATTTCTTTCATAGCACGGATATCAAACAGCTTTAATAGATGGTCACGTGATGCAGTTAATAGCCAGTTTCCATTTTGGTTCCATCTGATCTGCATAACTGTNGTAAGAATTTCAGTCTCAAACAAGCATCAGGTCTCATGGGGTGGGGGGGGGGGGGTCCGGATCCCCCAGACCCTCTCCCTGGATCCACCACTGATTTCCTGTTTTACAACTGTGAATGCTGTACTCACCCAACAACCCAGAACATCATGGAACCATCTGATCCACCACTGACAAACAATGACTCATGAATAGGATGCCAGCTGATTGCTACGAAAAAAAACAAATACACTAAATTGACATGCCAAGCAACATAACTTCACTACTAGCTAGATACAAATTATTAAGAAGTGGAACTCCCAGGTGAGGGGTATGACTGGAAGAGAGGTGCAGAAAAAGGGATGATTATTCTCCACTAGTCAGTGACAAAAAACTTTAGAGAGGGCTCGGCATAAGGAGGGTCTAAAAAACTGCAAAACCAAACAGGAAAATGTAACATCGCATAAAAATGTACCAAGATTAATTGATGAAGACTGCAAAAGCATGTGACTACAAGGTGTAAACAAAACCTGCATTGGATCAACTAGAGCTGACACTTAAGGCTGCAGCTGGGGCTGATTCCCAGCTATAATTTTGAGCTTGACCCCTGACCACTTTCATGGGGAAAAAAAATGAAAATAGAATCAACTAAAGAACTTTCTAGCATATCCATTCTCTAGCTACCCATTAACTGCATATATCTGGCAACTTGAAATCTAAGGAAAAGGGGTTGCAGGAGTTGATACAGTGCAGGTTAATATCCTTGATGCTGATCAAATGCACAAACTCTTAATGCCCCCTCCTTGGAGAAACTGAAATACCTCAAAAAGAAATAGCTAAAGGGGCTATAAAATTTACCAAAAAATGTTGTCACTGAACTTTCCATAGGGAGGTTTTGAATGGGACAATTTTACGTGGATGAATAAGAAATTGAAGGAACAAAACAGGGACATTGTGAAGAAGAGGTGGCCATAGGTATTTCAGGTTTAACTCAAATAGACCATTTGCCCCCTATTTTCACTTTTTTAAAGGGTGAATTGGACTTACCCGTAGCCTCCCTCTTGTGACCTCGGAATGTTTGCATTTCTTTCATAGCACGGATATCAAACAGCTTTAATAGATGGTCACGTGATGCAGTTAATAGCCAGTTTCCATTTTGGTTCCATCTGATCTGCATAACTGTGCTCTTGTGAGCATGCCTAGGGTAAAAGGGGTAAGAAGAGCAACATTATGAGAAGAATGCTCGTCACTCGACTTTTAAGTATGTGGACAAAATCCTATTGTGAATTCAGCAGTACTTTCACATGGTACTATTATTTACCGAAGTATTTAGTACAAACCTCTACCTTTTGAGTTTGTGGATGAAATCCTTAAGTGTTACCATTCAAACGAAAATCTCTTCAGCAGTACTTTCACACGGTACTATTTATTTAGTACGTAGTCCTGACTTTTGAGTCTGTGGGTGACATCCTATGGTGTTACCATTCAAATGAAACCTATTCAGCAGTATTTTCACATGGTTATTAATTTAGTATTTAGTTCTAACTTTTGAGTCTGTGAGTGAAATCCTGTGATGTGATCATTCAAATGAACATCTCTGGCAGAGCTTTGAATTGCATAATACTGTTAATTTCTTGGGATTTTACAAATATAAGAAAAGTATACCTTTCGTAATTATTGTTTTCTTCACCAAATAAAAAAGTAAAAGGGTTAAGTGTTTAATGAAAGAGTAAGAATTACTGAAATGTTGCAATTTTGGCAAGATAATATTTGGGGGGGAGGGGGGTGAGGGGGGTTATTTTTGTGATTTTAAAAGGCTTATGTAAAAAAGGGCATAAAATTTTGCTATTGAAGTGTTTCCAACTTTATTATATTTCTCAAAAAGTCTGAACTTTTTAAAATTTTTAGATAAACTGGAACTTTGCAGATTAATGTTATTTCACAACAGGAGATACCAGTAAAACCATTTAATAATAGTTTGTATATTTGTCGACATATGTCCCGTACAAGATATTTTTCTTATTTGTTAAACATTTTTTGCTGTGATTTGAATTTTCGATATGGGTATTAAATTTCAGGTGTTTAAATTTTGCAAGGATTTTTATTCGTGGGGGTTTAATTTTGCTATTTTTTTTACAATCATGAAAAACAAAATGAAACGCCTGTGAAATTTAGTTCCGATAAGATACTCACAGGGTTGTCAGTGCACTGCCAGTGCGAGGGTCCCAGAGTTTAATTGGCTGTTGACTGTCCTTGCTACCAGACACTACAAGACTCTTAGTTGGGTGCCAGTCCACACATTTGACATCAGCTCCATGTCCTGAAAGTAAGCAAAAATTAAGAATTTTGTTTTGACCGCATTACCCCAGCAACAACATTGAGGCCCTGATAAGGGAAAAATTCTAGTGACATGTGAACCTTGAAACAGTGACTGAGACAGATGCAATGGGGACAAACAACACAAATATGGGTTGGAACTGGAACAGTGCCAAGGCAAGCCCTTCTTCTCCATACACAAAATAACATTAAATTCAGAATAAAAACATACACAGCCCTCCCCCCATGAGAGGGCATTGACATTGTTCATGGATGCAACTCTCGATTTGTTTAATGATTACATGGTGAAACAATGATTTGGGGTCACGTACCTGCAGGGAATCGAACTCGGAAACCTCCACACAGAAGGCTGTGCTCTAACTGACTTTGCTAATCCTTGCTTTTTTATAAAGCTTTGGGTAGACGATTCTTCAAAGACCAGTTTTGGGTTTTAGGGCTCTTTCCATGTCAGAACTGGCCGGCCAGACTATTGCCGGACCAGTCAGTTAGCAAATGAAATCAGGTTTTTCCAAAGGGTTTTTGCTGAAAAAATCATGCATCTCCTTTGTGCAATTTAGGATTTGACTGATCTTGCTGAATAGTTT